TCAGAAGACGCGCAGCTGGAAGCCACTGGCATTCAGACCCAGGTAGGTTGAGAGAATGTGCTGTGACTCCACACTGAGACCCGAAAAATGCCATGCACTAGTAATAATGACCACATGCCATGGCTCCCTAACGGGGAGGGAAGCACTGAAATAGAGTCTAGCAAATCCTACAATAAAACTGCGAGATTGAGCCTAATGTTCTTCAAAGAAGAACAAAGACTCCAGGTGTCACTTGTATATTGTCCACAAGCCCCCCAGCAACCTTTTATCATCTATCCTGAAGAATATTTTAGACGCCTCCTCATCGATTATTCCATCCCCCACTCTCACTCTTCTGATCCATACTGTACCACCGTTGTATCAAAAACCAATGTGCTGATGTTACCGGGCTTCGGGTAGGACCCATGACTAGCTACTGCCTTGAGATTCGTGTCCAGAGTCTTTTGAAAGTCTGTAATAACCTCCATCACCTGGGTACTGCATGAGCGGCAGGAATCTTCAAGATGCCACTGGATCTGAATTGGAAAGAGTGGCCCTGGTCATCCTTCTGGAAAGGAGGGAGTCTGCAGAGCACAAGCCTACCCCTCCTGGTGCTTATACCCAACACAGTCTTTCTAGTTCACCTGTTGCCAGAACTTTCATGCTTCTCCAGGAATATTTTACTCAGCAAACTCAGTGATGATCTGAATTTCCTTACATTCTTAGATAGTTTCATCATTACCTCGTTTCCTCCCTAGGATTTTGCTCATCAACTATTTTTAGTGAATTGCGTGTATTCGGTCACAATGCTTGTACCATTGGCACCCAAATGTACAGCAGAGAAATTCAAGGAATGGCTCCTTCCACCATGTAAGATCTTCAGCACATGGGACAAAGTCCTTTCTTGTTTCTGAAATCCTGAGTACTTCAGTGAATTTATTGCTCCAGCTGATAATTGGAATTCTGGACACTTGTGTGACAATAATGGTAGAACTGTCCAATCAGGCATATGAGCAGCCTGTACTGCAGACTGGAAATTCCAATACGGGATCTCCTGGGGGGTGAATGGAGCCTCAGGATCAGGTGAACATGTAGCCCCACAGCTTCCTGGCTGGGCCAGGGGGTTTGTGCACAGGGAGGTAGTGACTTTGCAGGGCTGTGTCTTGACTGCTGGCACAGAAATACACAGCAGAGTCACCTGTCTCCAGGGAGTCGACATGAAGGTTTAAATGAGCTTTGTCAGATGTCTTAGGTGAGAAACGACCTGGAACTGATTCATTTACATTGAGTTCCTGATTAATGTAGATAAACATGATCTTCAGCAGTTGCTTGAGGTCTTGCTTATACCAGTACATAGTATCATGGCCCAGATTTTGCTCACATTTTAGTGACTTCTTAGATCCCACGTGCGCGATGAGGTATCTTGGAGTCTGGGAAACTGTTGTGTCCAGGGGTGCTGAGAAGGAAAGGAGAAGAATTCAGACCAGTCCCACATGGCAGGCTCTTGCTGGCCACATGACGAACAGGCCTAGAGACTTAATTTTGCAGCACACCAGCTGGACCAAGGACTCACCTGCTCCCAGGAGGCAGAGGACCATACAGCAGAGGAACCCGGAGCCCATGGTGGAGACAGGCACAGTCTGGTCCTCAGTGGTGAGAAAGAGGCGGCAGTTCTCCACCGCCCTGACAGGTGCGCTGCCTGTGATGTCACAGCCCAGAATGACTTCCCCATGCTGGGCCTCTCCTCTTCCTTCATTTCCTGCCCTTGTGCCTTTCAAGACATGCTAATTTCTCCTCTTTTCTAAGGAATTTGGAATATCTAGGGATAGTTTGAATGGGACATCTCTTGCCTCAGGGATATATCTCTGCCTCCCTGGGTTTTGGCTGGCACACATCTGGCCACCTCCTCCCTCCTCCTCGTTTTGGCTCCACTCTCAGATTTGGGCAAGTTTCTCTTTTCTGTATCTTCTCATCTTTCTCCACAGTAATGCAGGGAGATCCCTCTCAAATCTTGGTTCCACTGAATCTCTGATGTGTGCTCTGCCGCCCCCTGGCTACCTCAGTTGTGGACAAAAGAACCACTGTGGGGTCTCCCACAGGCACCAGCTGCAGACAACTAAAATGCATGAAGGAATGTTAGGAGCAAGCTGTGATGAGAAGTCCCCTTGAGGGGGACCATACTGCAACCCCATTCCCTGTGAAGGTGTTCTCCGTCTGAGGGGCAGTTCAATGTAGTGAGCAGGAGGCCGCTAGGCAATGAGCCGTTCCTGTGGGACAGGAGCAAACAGTTGGAGCGGTGAATGACAGCAAGAGAGTGGGGGAAAACCTGGGCTGAATGGCTTTACTGTCCTTGACCTGTCTACAGGTCACCTTCTTTTGTGGTACAATGTTGCAACTAAATGTTTAGCCTAAGGCATCTCAACCTCAGAGATATTGCAGTATTGTTCTGGATAATTCTGTTTTGTGGACACTGCTTAGCAGCATTGTGGTCTCTATCCACTACCTGCCAGTAGCTCTCCCACCCCAGCTAGGACAATAAGAGGTCTCTACCATCACCAAACTGCCCCTGTTGACAACCACTGTCCCCTTTATTCATTGGAGCCCTATGGCCCCAGGCCACCACCTCTTTCAGGGGTTCTGGTGGTGCCACGGGTCCTCCTAGTGGTCGTCAAGGCGCACTTCCCAGAGCTGGGAAGGCTCCAGCACTTACTAAGGCCAAGTCAGGAGGAGCTATGCAGGAGAACAAGACACTATTACTGCCACAGAGACAGCAGGCACATATGCTAATACCCACACCCACACCCACACCACACCCACCACACACACTGCTTGGCAACACTAACTGTCAACTACTGGTCAACTTCTTCAAACACAGGTGTTTTGCTTTCCTTTTTGTTTTTTTCTTAGTTGAACACAGAACAGGTGCTTGAGACACCGTAGTGAACCAAACAGAAACAGCCACCATCCTTCCAGGAACTCTAGCACGCTTTACTTATTTGCTCTCATTGAATAGTTATTTAGTGCAAAGCACAGGGAAGGCAATATTCTCATGCTCATGACGCTTGTATTCTGATAGGAACAAAAAGAATATCACAGACTGCTCTAGGCATATTAAATATAAAAGATATAGAAGTGAGGAGATAATCAGTAGTAACACAGTTAAAAACTACCCTAATATGACTTCCCACTTGTTCATCTAAAACAATGGGCTGAAATAAATAATTTCCAAGTCTCTCTCCATGTTTAGATTGTATGATGCTAACCAGGGAGACCCTAGATGATTGCCGGATTAGTGGGGCTTATGCATGCAGTTCCCAAGAACTTACCTCAAGGTCCCTCTCAGCTTACAAGGGAAGCTTTACAAAGACAACTGGATCGTGGTGATAGTTGAGTAGTACCTAAGTATATTTAAACTCCAAGAGTTGTACACTTGAAATGGGCATTATTTCACGCAGATTACACTTCAGTAAAGTAAAAATACTCCAGACGTTTCATTTGGAACCTAAGTGATCACATACTAGAAGCAAAGGTGAACAGCCATCCACAAAACTGAAGCTTGGTTGAAATCCAACTCACTTTTCAACCAGATTCAGAAGACTTGCCCCCACCAAGATGTCGTAGTGTAAGCAAAAAGGAATTATCTCTATAAGATAATACATCATCCAGAGCCATCCTCTTGTCTCTAACATTTTTCACTTACAATATCTAGCATTCAAACACAGATCATCTGGGGGCTGGCTCTACGGAGTGGAGAATGATCCATCAGACCTTCCAGCTGAGAACTGATCTCTGAGTGTTTAGGCTTCTCAAGAGAGTATCCTTGTAGGATAACATAAGAAACTCCACTTTCTGCCCCAGCATCTGTCTCTACCAGTGGAGGTATAAGTGACCAGAGACGGGGTCACACGTCAGGATAACTCTCATCCACCTCTCTGTGACCAGGTGGCTGGGAGTCTGCTTGACTTCAGGTTCTGTGTGTCCTGTAGGAGGAGAAAGAAGCCAGAGATTGAATAAGGAAATGGTATAGAAGAGCCTCAGGTAAGTCCAAGATGAGAAATTCCTAAGATTTCAACTGCTTACCAAAGACTAAAAATCTCCCAAGAGCCTGGAATCCATGGCAGAGTCAGGGCAGGAATGAGTCTTCTCCTAGCTCAGGCCTCTGCACCCCATGGATTCCTCCTACACACACTGGGGCGCCCCCTGCAGGAGAGAGGAGGGAGCCTCTGTGTCAGTGCAGGCATCTGACTCCCCAGGACACAGGGGTCTGCTCAGCCCATGGTGTCTGCTAGCCTGTGCAGGATGGAGGACCGTGGCACGGGGCAATGCCAGAAATCATGGGGTTCGGCAAGGACAGCCCCGAGGATGCAGTCCTGCTCTGAAATGTCGGGGGGCCTTCCAGTCTTATTGCCTGTTGTGAGCAACAATCCTGGGGCAGAGGACTCTGTGGCTGATAATGCAGGATGTGAAGACCTGAAGAATTAGGATGAGAGTGACAGAAGGAAAAGGAATTAGGCCTGAAAGCGTCACAGCTGAGAGGAAGAGAGGCTCTTGGGGAGCTCAGTCCCGGGACATGTAGCAGACAATGACCTGGAAAGAATGATCCAAATCTGAGGAGGAAACAATTGTTCTCAGAGGTAGGAACAGACTGAGCTGGGTGGTGAGGGGAGGAGGTGTTCTGGAAAAGGGCTCAGCCTGTTTGGAGCTGGGACAGGGGCTGAGGTCCAGGGTCTCACTTGGGTGGAAGGAATAGTCAGAGGAAGGTGCCTGTGGGCAGGGTTCATGGCAGCACTGCTGTGCCCAGAGTGTAAAGTGGCCCCTGAAACATTCCCCAGGGCCATGTGCCTCCTGGAGGCTGCTTGGAGCAACTGGAGCCGGACCCTCTGGCTTGCATGCAGCTGGGCACAGACTGGAAGAAGGCTGAGCCAGGCCCCAGGCTGTGCGTGTCTGCTCTGGGCACTCAGCCCTGCAGCGACCCCTGAGTGCACAGGCTGCATGAGGTTCTGGGATCTCTGTCTGGGGCCCTACAGGAGATGTTGAGCTAGTCTTGGTTGTCCCAGGGCCCCCCTGCTAGACCCAGGATGTTTGTGCACGGGGAGAGTTTGGCTGTGTGGGGCTGTGTCTCTGCTGCTAGCACAGAGATACAAGGCAGAGTCGTCGGGCTCCAGGGCGTCCACGTGAAGGTAGAGCCTGGAGCTGTCTGGGCACTCAGGTGAGAAGCGACCGGAGGCAGTCTCATTCTCAAGGAGTTCCTTATATCTGTAGGCAAACATGAGCTTCGGTGGCTTCTGAGCGCTCTGCTGATACCAGTACACAGCATCATGTCCCAGATGTTGTTCACACTTGAGGGTCACTCTCCTCCCAGACCCTGTTACCAGGTGTTTGGGGGTCTGGGTAATTCCAGTGTCCATGGGAACTGTGGGAGCAAGAAACCAAAGTTAGAGTGTTTAGGAAGCAGTACCATGAAAAAAGCCAGAAGCCTGAGGACAGAGATGTCCCAGGAGTTCTCAGGACTCACCTGCCCCCAGGAGACAAAGGACCACCCAGTAGAGGAGCCTGCAATCCATGGCAGCACCTGACTGGAAGGGACTGGATGTCTCTCTGCTCAGATTCCTGTACTGGCATCTGATGAGGATTTACTGGTGAAGTCGGTGCCCTGTTTACTTAGACAGCTCACATTTCCTCTCTCACTTATGCCCTGTACCAGCGTCACCAGAGCTGGTCTTGGTCTGGTGTGGCAGGACCAAATGTACCGGGGTAGGTGTGGAGGATTTCCTACGCCCAGCTGCCTCAAGGAGGTTTCTCAGTCAGTTGCTTTTTCTTTTCTTTTCTTTCTTCTTCTTTTTTTTTTTTTTTTTTTTTTTTTTTTTTTTTTTTGTTGCTAGTAGCTTCCTCCCCCAACTGAGCCTTTCCTTTCTCATTCTAGTTGATGGCACCTCCTCAGCTCAGACATGCATTCCCTCCCTTGGGGTAGATGTCCCCCCATGCTGTGTCTCACGGAACCAGGACAATCCCACTCAAGCCTCATCTTGATTTAACTCAGAGACACCACCTTGCTTGGTTTGTGGAGTCTCTCCCTGTCTCCAGCTGTGCTTCATTTTATTTTATTTTTTAAAAAGATTTTATGTATCTATTCATGAGAGACACACACAGAGAGAGAGGCAGAGACACAGACAGAGGGAGAAGCAGGCTTCACGCAGGGAGCTCGATGTGGGACTTGATCCTGGGACCCCAGGATCACACCCTGAGCCAAAGGCAGATGCCCAACCACCAAGCCACCCCGGTGTCCCAACTGTGCTTAATTTTAAGACATAAGAATTTAATGCCAAGTGGGTAAGAAGCACCCTCAGTGGGTACTGATGAGTTTACAATGTAATATGCTGCAACCTGTACCCCTAGAGAGCATCTCCCTAACCTGGGGTGCCGAGCCTGATCATGGATGGGTCACATACAGAGGAAGCACAGGAGAGTAATGAAAGATCCTAAGGGATGTGAACCCCGGGGGCTGCAGACAGAATGCTATAGAGGTTGGGGAGGTACACCGTGGACTGGGTTTTAGTGTCCAGGTTGTGCATATACCAGCTCCCAAGCCGACCCGGGAGCAAACCCAATGCTAGAGTGTTCTCTTTCTTCTTAGGCACCCTGCTTCCCCTTGCCTTCCCTTCTCCTCCCAGACTAGCCCCAGGGATTTCAGTGAAGTCACAGCTCCTCCTTAGGGTTCAAAGAGGGACACATTAACCTCCTCTGCACCATCTGTCTCCGTCCTGGGGGGTGGGGGGGTGGAGGGTGGTGGTGGTGGTGGTGGAAGGGAGCATGGAGTTCAAGGGCTCTGTTAGTTTGTTCACCAAGCATTGGTGAGTAAGGCAATGTTCTCATCCTTGAAATTCCTCTAGACTCCTAAGAACAAAGGGACTTGTTTTTAGATAACATGGAGTTTGGAGAGCTTTAGTGTCTTTTTTAAGAAAGTTAAAACATAATTGGTTTTTATTCGGCTAAAGCATTTCATCTCCTTGCCTTCTCCTTTCCTCATCCCCGAAACCTGGATCAAGGGAGAGTCTGAAATACTGATCTCCAACCCCCCGTTTAACTCTGAAACAGCATGAGCTGTCAGGATAAGCTTCCACCCAGATGTTTACTGGATGGCCGGGCTAGGACCTTCCAGGGCTCCCCGCCCTTATCAGAATACGGAACACTTTGCAGGTACTTGACCCATAATTGTCGAATGAAGGAATAGATGGACACAACGGAAAGTAGTAAAAGACCACACGTGAGTCTAACCAACAAAAAAATTATCTCCAAATGTGCTATGATTGGCACTGGTGTATTCGTATTAGTGACTTAAGGAAATTGAGGGCCTGGTATGAGGACACAAGGCAGAAATTTCAATGATAAATAAATTTGCTTGGCATGAAGCGAACATTTGGTACTATTTGTATTTTATTTTAAAGATTTTTCTTATTTATTCGTGAGAGACACAGAGAGAGAGGCAGAGACACAGGCAGAGGGAGAAGCAGGCTCCATGCAGGGAGCCCGATGCGGGACTCGATCCCAAGACTCCGGGATCACAACCTGAGCCAAAGGCAGATGCTCAACCACTGAGCCACCCAGGTGTCCTGATACTAACTTGTACTTTGAAGGATAGGTATAATAATTTTCCAATATGCATCAAGCATCCTCCAAAGGAGATTCAGAAGTCGAAAAATCGTTTCTCTTCGTAAACCATCCTTGTTGTCAGGGCCCCCACAGTGATGGGTATTTGAGTATTTCCTTACAATACAGCACAAGAATATATTCTAGGCTTATCTTGTTCTTTCCCTGCCTTCATCATGATATCAGCTGTTTCTCCATAGAGCCCTGGTTCTGTTTATTATCCAAAGAGCCCTGGATAATGGTATTTAGAAAACAAGAGATGGGCACTAGATCTGGGCTTTGGGGGTGCTAGCACTCCCAAGTCATCAGTGGACAGATCCTAGGGGATACACATATGTAGACAGGCACACAAATGCACACATATTAACATGCATCTCTAATTCTATATCTATCTATGCATATTGAAAAACCAAGAGTTTACACGAATAATTCCAGTTCCAATTCCAATATGATAAGGCCCATTCTAGCGTTCTGGCGTCATCCCTTTCTATATTTGCAATTCCCTTGCAATACGGAGAAACTTGGCTCCTGTTATCCTTAATAGGTTTACACATTTGATCCACCTCTTCGCATGTGCCCAATTGCCCGTGGCAATGGCAACCTTCTCTCCCCTGCATGTGTCTGCCTCACCCTGCTTGGGATCTGACAGCCTGGGCCAGAGAGTCTTCTCACCTCAGTTCAGTTTCTGATACCTGACATGGGGCATGCCCTGCCCCGTCTGGATAACCTTCTCAATGTGCTGGAGCTTCAGTGGCCTATACCAGGCCACTCTTCTCACCCTACTTGGGTGCCAACGCGCTCTTTCTTGGGAATACCCTCCTCACTTGGTAGAGTCTCTGTCACCTTGTATCAGGCCTCCTTCTTGTGTAGATACAAAGCAATGCGCCAGCTTAGTCCTCAGCTAACAAAGACATTTCACTTCACAGATGCCTTATAAAATAATATGAGGCACTTCAGATTGGTGGTGGGTAAGGGGGAGGCCTCAGGACCTTGTCTGTCTCCCATATACTCTAGATATATGTCTAGATCTAGACAGGGTGATGGATACATAATGCACATGTACTTAACTTGCTTGGGCTTTTCTGAACCTTTTTTCCCCCCTCACGCTGTTCCCCAGGAAGCAATGCCAATTTCTTGGTTCTAAAAGTCCTAGACTTTTCCTTTCTTCTCTCCTATACCAATACGTTATTGTCATGTGTGTACCTGTTTTCCTAATGAATTTGCTCTTTTTAAGGCCACAGGCTGCATCTTTTTAAAATTCGTTTTTAAAATATTTCTGCATATTGTTCTCTATAATTTTATTTATTTTTATTTTTTTAAAGATTTATTTATTTATTTATGATAGACATAGAGAGAGGGGGGGGGGGGCAGAGACACAGGAGGAGGGAGAAGCAGGCTCCATGCAGGGAGCCTGACGTGGTGCTCGATCCCAGGACTCCAGGATCATGCCCTGGGCCAAAGGCAGGCGCCAAGCCTCTGAGCCACCCAAAGATCCCCAATTTTATTTATTTTTAACAGCTTCTTTAGGGTATAATTGATAGACAAAGACCCATACATATTTAATGAGTATAATTTGATAAATGAGGGATATGGAAACACTCATAATAACCATTACCATGTCAAGATAGTACATATCTATTAATCAGTTTCTTTTTCTTCATTCCCGGGAAAACCTCTTCTTATCCTCCAGTGTTTGCAAAACATGGTAAAGGTGCATTCCTCTGGCCTGAGAAAATCGGAGTACCTGAAAACCCACCGCATGCTTCTCTTGCTAGTTCCTCTCTTGAGGAGGGCCCTTTGATCATGTGCAGGTGAGCACACGCTCCAATCACCACCCACTCATCTCTCCAGGACCCCAGGCTGCTGAACCACAACCAGATGCTTTCCCTCCGCCTTCAAGAGTGCCTCAAGCCTCAGCTTCCTTAAAGGCTGGCCATCTGCTATGCTCCGGTCGCCAAACAGCCATTGACTATGACTCTATAGAAGAGCCCAGTCGCAATGGGTTCTGTGTTGACAGGGGAAATAAAATAATAAAAAACAAAAACACAGGGTATACATCTTTGGTTTTGTGTGTGTGGATATTCTAGATGATGAGACAGAGCCAATATTGAGATGACACTAACAATATTACTATACAATAGTTCACTGATCATAAAATAATAGCATATAAAACTGTATTCATCAGCACTGGAAGAATTTGTAGAAAAACATTTATCCTTTGGAGACTGCCGTAGTTGGAGAAGGTATTTTGAAGGAGAGAAGTTTAACCCAAATCTTTAAGCAACATAGTCTTGTGCCAAGTTTTGTTTTGTTTTGTAAGAAGATGTGGCATATGTATGTATATATATATATATATATATATATATATATATATATATATGAAAACCCATATATATAGTATATATGGTGTGTGTGTATATATATATACCATATGAGGCACTTAAGATTGGTGGATATGCCATATATATATGGTCCTTATCTTACCATTTGCAAAGTTGTGGATGGAACTAGAGGGTATTATGCTAAGTGAAATAAATCAGCTGGAGAAAGACAAATACATTGTGGTAGGGGTTAGTAAGGGCTGGACTGTCACTTTGGCACGGACGGTGTACTAACAAGGGAGAAAGATGATCCTAAATCATTGTAAACCAACTGGGAGTGGGGAGGGCAATATCAGGACATGAATGGGGATGCGAGCCTTCTGAAGGCCTTGGGGCTAGAATGTACTGTGTGGTTGGCGAGGAGGTGGGAATGAGTGGGAAGGGCCACAGGGGGCTGTACCACGCAATGAAGGGACTCAAGGAAGACCCACGACTTGGCCGGAATACACATCTTCTGCTTCTGTGATACAACTTAATTCTTCTTTTATGAGGTGTGCTTCTCCACCTGCTCTGGTGAGATAGAAACAGGATCTGGC